CAGAACTGACACCTCGCTGTTATCTCGATAAACAAGTAATGGATTCTTGAGAGTGCAAAATTACCATTTTGCCCCTCTTTGGGAAATGTGCGTAAACTGTCCAATTTACGCCTCATTCACGCTCAAGTGCTTGTAAGGATACATAATACCTAGAAAGACGTGAAAAGGGACAAAGCATGACTAAGACTCAAATGTTCACAGAGGATTTCCACTTAGCTCATCAAGGCATTTTAGAAATTTTTGAGTGTCAAGGATACAATACGATTAAATTTAGGACGGGATGTGACAATCTACCACTGTTCACATAGGATTTCCACTAAACCCTTCAAGGGCATTTTAAAGCTTTCCCAATGTCAAGGAACACAATACGATTACTTTGGGGCGGGATGCAACATATAGTTTTTAGAGACTTTATAAACTCCAAACAATGTTTTCTCTAACCGTGAAAATCTGAATGTAATATCAACAATCTGAACCATTTATCTCTTTGCAACTGCTAAATGATCATGTTTTCAAATATGAAAATCTATTTCTTCTCAAAAAAAAAAAAGAATCTGAAAAAGAAAAATTAAAATTCAGTGAGAAGAATGGAGCGTGAGCGTAAATGACAGTCAGCAGTTAAATTTAAATCTATGGTTTATGGGATTATGGTGCCGAATTTCTAAGTTGACCTTTTCATAAAAGTTGTAAAACTTCTCATTATGAGCATTTGAACATTTTTTTTTTTACATTTTTTTACACATCTACATTAATTAAAAAATTATTTAGAAAACCTTACTACAACAATTGGAATATGATTTAATTTCACTTATGTGAGATTAAATCCTTACCATTGGATTCTTTGATCTCACTTAAAAGACAAATGTGTTTTTATATTTTGAAGTAATATTTACGGGAAAATGTGGTATGTAAATACAGATTTAGTATTAAGATTTTCATTTGATTATTTATTGAAGTAAAATATATTTTCTTTAATGAGTAACAGGTAACAGGTAACAGGTGAGGTTACATTACTTATTAATATTAACATGTCAAAATCAGGTCGAATCATATTACTTATTCATTTTAACGGGTTTTACATGACGCTTTAAAATATTGAGGATGTCATGATAGGGACACGAACACGAGGTCTAATTGGTCTCCCTGGTTCAAAATGGAGATGGAGGAAGAAGGCTTTTGTTTGGTCACGGGTTTAAAGGAAAAATTGTGTTTGGTTACAATGATAGCAAAATTTTGGGAGAAAACTAAAATGACAGGTTTTTAATATTATTGGTCCACATAGATGGGCCAGCGAATTAAGTGCTGACAGGTGTTTTAATAGCACAAGAATATCCAACATTAAATTACGTTTTGGGCTCAATCTATACTCATCACTGTTTAACTAAATTTCGTTTCCACGATGATATGATTAATCTTGTGATAGAGTGTGCATCCTGTCATTTTATGTTTTGATCTAACGGTTGGGAGATGTTATTAATGTCACTAGTTCTCTGATCATCATTTTGATGTCAAATATAAAAGATCATGGCAAGAATTACACACTTCTAACACCATGCAAAAATCTTCCGATGTACACCTCAGCCATCCGTCCGGCAACAATTTTTGGCCAGCATCAGAGAATGCCTCATTTCCAGACAATGGTAGTTGTAACGATGACTTACTCACAAGGTATATGACATACCTACCAAAATATTGAATGTCAATTTATTGAGTCCATGTGGTTAAATATATTAATCCACCAATATGAAAATTTGATGCATAAATACATGCATGCATGCATACATACATGCATACAAATCCATACAACACAATAAAGAATAATTTGGCCGAGCGTAACAAAACAAGCTGAGATCAAACTAATCAAACAATAAGGTACATCAATGTATTGAATTATATGCAATGCGTGCTGGACATCTCGAAAATTTACCAACTAAATAGCATAACCGAAAATGTTCCTACCAATATTTATTCAGTGACAGGTAATCTTATGATTAAAGCATTCATCAACAAGGTCCAGAGCTAACTGACTGATAAAGTGATAAGCACAACTCAACATAACCTATTCGGGTTTGAAGGTGAAGATGACTTAGCTTTTGCAAAATCAACTGGATCCTTGAAAAGCATCTTCCTGTTTTACTTATTTTGATGGGATAGACGAATTAAGGGAGAGATTCGAAGTCTATCTCACTAATTAAGTTGTCATAAGATGAACCAAATCCGCTGATTGAAATGCTTTGTTGCTCAAAAACTGTTGTCTCTAATTGTACATGGAAGGCGGAGGTGAAAAGTTGACAGGAGAGCGACCATGGCCAGGAGACTGAGGATCCCCTGGAGATTTAGTGTCCCTGGGGCAGTGGCACAGCCAACAATTGTCAGGGCGAGGGGCGAATTTAAAAATGTACAAGGTTCAAAAAATGGCAACAACCAAATCTTTTATCTAATAATGTCTTCCATAATTTATTAATACAAACAAATTACAATTGTTCCCAGTGAGGTTTCATGTCATGAAAACTTCACATGATAGGCTTATTATCAATAAAAGCATATACATCCTTCTCAATATAAACAAACTACTATCACTTAACCATTATCCCCCATTTTGTTACGCAATGATGTGTTCACAATCTTCATAGCAGAAAAAGCTCTCTCTTCACCGAAGTGGTTGCAACAATAACACCAAAGCCAATGTAAGAAGCTTATACACTAACATATGACTTGCACACATCTCGGTCTTCACCAACTCTTTTGCAAGAACACTAATTCCTCTTAATGATGAAAACTCACCGTGCATCTTCATATCATGAATTGTCAAGTTAAATTAGAAGATTCATGAAGTCCATACGATCAAAATCTTGAGGATAAAAGTTGTGCTAAACGAATAATTTTGCTTTGCCAAAAGATGCAAAAATATTCATCAGAGTCAAACATGCCATGCAAAGAAGCAACTCGGTGTTTACCTAATTGAAGCAACCATTCAATTCCTTTAGTTGCATATCAAGGACTTGAAAATAGTGGTGCATAAGATAGCAATGGAAATTTGGGAGTTTTGGAGCTTTACACCTTGATTTTTCGGGTACGAAACGCAAATCCTCCATGTTAGGAACGATAATATCATGCTCCTCATAGAATTTTTTACATCATGAAACAAGTCCCCAAAGTTCTCATCTCTCAAGGATTGTAATATTTGCTTGCATACTTCCACTAATGCTATTGCATTCATAATATCTTGATCTTTCTTTTGTAATGCTTGTGATAACTCATTTGTAATTCCCAATATAAATCTCATAAAAAAACAAGGTGAAACACAATTCAAAAGTTAGTATGTCTTTAAATAACCTATTTGCTTCACCGAGATTATCTTGGTTGTCATCACCTTTAATCCATTTAAGCACCTCTACCACGGCTTCAAACATAACAACAATACTAATTGTAGTACCATAATGTGAGTATCACCGTGTATCACTAGAACTCATGAGACTACTTTCTTGATTTAACCCTTTACCCGTTGCAAGATCAATATCAAGAGCTTTCTTTATTTTTATTTTTTGGGTGTTTCTGTCTAAATGCATCACGATGCATACACGATGATCCAATAAGATTCACCAAAGGATTGGCATGTTGAAGAAATTGGCACCATTCTCATTTCCCCTTGCTACGAATACAAGAGCTAGTTGGAGTTGGTGTGCAAAACAATGAACATAAAATGCTTGAGGATATTTGTTCAAAATCTTTGATTTTAGACCATTTAGCTCACCTTTCATATTAATAGCTCCATCATATCCTCGTGACTTGAACATACTCAAATTTATTGTAGCAAACAATCTCTTTGTGGCCTCTTCGTGGCCTCTTCCTAACTATCTCATTATGATCGGTAAAAAATTGCATAAGCTCCACATAATTACTTGTATTGCTTGATTTTGATGATACCTTGTCACAATAACCATCTTGTGCAATCAAGTGCTCCACTCAATAAAGTGTGATAATTAATGCAAGCTTCATTGGTTTGCTTTATCACAAATGTTTCAATGTGTTGTTTTTGTGTCATCAAATCTCTAACTTGTTGTAAAACTTTATTATGAAGACTTCCAACATCTCCCTCATGATCTCGAAAATTTTTGGGTCCTCTCCAATTTGTAAACCCTTTTTCAGTAAAGGCATCACTTCCAGTAGTACTTGCATTATCAAAATCACATTTGAAAAGATAACAATAATGGCGAAATGCAAAATCTTTTAGTAGACTATACTCCACCCACTCAAAATTATCAAACCAAAGAGTGATAAGACATCGACTGTAACTAACTTTCCTTGGAATGATGTAGGATTTAGGTTGACAAGGTTCATTTTGGATATAGTATCTAGGAATTGCTTCGTGATAATTAGGTGGATAATCGAGCATATGATGTCTATGTCTAAGGTCTGCAAGAAGATTAGCCAATATTTCATCTAACTTAGTGCCCTTACTTTGTTGTGAACTATTCGAAATATTCGAAGAAGGACTACCCGGAATATTTGAAGGAGGATTTAAGTATTGTTTCTATATTATCGTTCCATTAGGTAACTAAATAATAAATAAAAAATTATTTGAATTTTAATCCTAAAGTAGACTATACTAATAAACAATTTGCCCGACAAATTGTGTTGGGCAAACACTTTTTTTTTAGTAATGCTGCCTCACAGAGTATGCTATCAGTACTTTGCAAACATGCTGCTTATTACTTTGCAAATATACTACTTATTACATGGCTCAATACTTTCTAATGACATAAGCAATGGGAGGAAGGAAAGGGGTGTGTTTGGTTATAAAGATAGAAATTTTTTGAGAAAGTGAATAGATGGTGTAGAACTATTGAACCATGTAATAAGTCCATATATTTAGGTTGGTCAATTCCCAAGTATTATTCTGCTTATCTTAGGTGCGTTTTTGCTCTTTTAGAATTTTTCAAGCTAAAAATATTTATTGCTGCCTTGCAAAGTTAACCATAGATGCACCACTATGTGAATTTACACTTAATCCGTGAAGTTTAACCATTCATAAATTTTAGCGCGCCTCCGCTCGCAAATTTTGCAAATACATATCTATTTGATAACACCCATTTATATATACATATGCAATACAAATTTAGAATACTACTAAAATGAAATCTTAGAAAAATATAGAAACTTTAGCACTCGATTGGTAGCTACAAAAAAGATGATCATGACTGCTCCAAATGGTCTGCATCTAAACTTTATGTGTGAAATGCGTTTTATTGATTCAATCATTGAAGCAAATTCTCTTCAATCCACCTCCCATCTATATCACATTTAATATTATACGACTTCTTGCTTGTTTTCTTGTTTTTGATCACTTTCTTTGCTTTTTTGTTCCTCTTTCATCTTTCCCCACAAAACGCTATAGAGACCCGCAATCAGCAATACACCCCCTCCAATACTGCAACAAAACTAAATTCAATCAACAAAATAATCGTATTCATTTTACTCATACATGTAATCTGACATCAACGATTAACAAGTATCATTAAACACATTATTGATTGTCCCAACTTTGATTTGAAAAACGAGAATTCAATAAGTATTACGCCCTCTATGTTATCCTTTACTTTCTAAATCTCTGTATATGTTCTTAATAAAGTTTTATTTAATCTAAAATTCTTTATTTCAAGAAATATATAGTACTATTTGATCAAGAAAAAGGAAAAAGCAATGCACAATACTATAATAGAGATGAACCAAAAGAGAAATTTAATCATCCCTTCTCAATTTTTATATATATATTTTAATACAAACGATATTCTATGTTAATTGTACTATAGAAAATGTGATATGATGAGATGAAAGTTGGTGCCTCTCAAATCTGTGACATGATGAGATGATATTTAAGAAGTTGAGATAAAGGTTGGTGCCTCTCAATCTTGAAAATGAAACGTTGAAATATAATAATAAATAAATAAATGTATGATAGATATAGATATGGACCTTGCCCAGTAGATGGCTTCTTTCCATATCAATGCTGAGAAGATGGCTGTTATAATTAGTGATAATGGAGTGAACATTGCAGTGAAAACTGGGCCTTTCTTCTCTATGGCCCAAACTTGTAGCCAATAAGTAATCCCAGTTACAACTACGCCCTGTTATTATCATTGAAATTTTCACTGTATCTATAACGATGACTTATGAATGAAAATTCAAAATAAAAATAAATGGTTTAGATCATAAAAACCATTGCAAAGGGCCCAAATGCATAATTAGCACCGTATTAAATTACTAACTTGTTAATGCTTGAGCGATATTCTCCATACATACATACATACATACATACATATATATATATATATATATATGTTTATGCATATATATGTGTGTGTGTGTGTGTGTGTGTGTGTGTAAGTTTATGTTTATGCATGCCCATGTATATATATGTAATGCTGGAGAAATATGTGTGTGATCTCATAACAACCCTCTGAATACTAATAGGCCAAAAATGAATCTTATCCTATCTCTTTGGAGGGAATAGGAGCCATATACAACCCAGAATATTTTCAAATAGTACCTTTTTATGAATTAATTGAGCCAGCCAAATTGAGCCACTTATATATTATATGTTGTATTAGATATAGAGGTGTGTTGTCCATACATTTATTTTTACTTTCTACACATTCTCTTAATTTTCAGTAGTCGGATTGAATGAATTGAAGAAAATCAAATAACGTAAATGAACAAAGGGTATGTAAAAAGTTCAAAAAAAAAAAAAAAAGTGAATAGCGCACCCCCAGAATGATCCAAAGGAATTTAAATGGCATGCAATTCTCATTGTGATTTAGTTCTTAAAACAAAAGATCTTTGTGATATTGTTCCAAATGTTAATTGTTATTTTATTTATAATGCAGTCATTTCATGCATAGATAAAAGTGATATTGGACGTCACTTAGTATTGTAGCTTAGTGGTATTCTTTTTTATTTGTAAGTGAGAGGTATTAGGTTCGATTCTCACTAAAGGCGAATTTGAACCATATTATTGCTTAACTTATTGTGAGACTAAATTCACCCCCTCCTTCTTAATGTAGATAATATCGTTTGTTTAAAAAAAAAAAAATTATTATTTTAAATAGTAATTTCATGCATACAGCGGGTGTATACAATGATTATACCACTTGTTCTTTCATTGTTATATTATCCATTAAATGAATTTGAACCATATTATTGCTTAACTTATTGTGAGACTAAATTCACCTCCTCCCTCTTAATGTAGATAATATCGTTTGTTTAAAAAAAAAAAATTATTATTTTAAATAGTAATTTCATGCATACACCGGGTGTATGCAATGATTCTACCACTTGTTCTTTCATTGTTATATTATCCATTAAATGAAAGAAACACAGTGTAAAACATATACGTGTAAAAAAAAATTTCGTGGTTGGATAAAAAATGATTAAACTACACATGCTGATCGAAAATAATTATTTCATGCATACAACCGATGTATATAATTGCTTTTTTACTCACTTTTTTTTCTTTTTCATTGTTATTAGTTAAATTAGAGAAACGTCGTGCAAAATGCATGCGTGTTGTATGCAAGAACTTATGTGTGGGTGGATATTAGTGACTTACACAATAGACCACAGAGAGAAGATGAATGTCCCATCCAATCTTCCAAGCTGATGGATTTCTCTCAAATGCAATGGCCCAGCAAGCTGACATCAAGCAGCTGAAGAAGCATTGGAGAGTGGTGAGCCTCAACTTTGCCGGATATTGCTTGATAATGGGACCCTAGAACACAAGCACTAGTTAACAAGGCAATAAAAAAAAGAAAACTAATAAAAATGGTCTAAAAACTTTGAATTTTAACGATAAAGATAAAGTGAATAGTATCATGATTTACTTTTTAATGCAAAAATATGATTTTTCGTTAAAGTAAACAGTACCAAGAGATTTTCGTTAAAGTTCCTTAAAAAAAAAAATCTTACAGATAAAATTGTTCTTTTACAGACTTACGCTGTCAGGCTGACTTATTCCAAATTCACTGTCTCGTAAGAAAACTTTTTTTTCTTAATTATATCTATTAAAGAAGAATTCCACTTCAATACAGTAGTTAAATATAATGGTGGTGATTAGATGCGCATGAGGTCTTGAGTTAGAATCTCTCGTGTACAGAGAATAAGTAAAGCTAGCGGTGGGGATGAGATGAACCTGCAGAATTAGCCACAAAGACCATGCAGTATTGGCTGAGAGCATGATGAGGGAACCTTTTAACCACTCTCCTCCTGTGGAGGAAGATAATGAGGAGGAATCTGGAATTTGCCCTTGATTTGATGGAACCCAGTTGAACTTTATGGAGGGCCCTTTCACTAAGGCAAACACCAATGCTCCTGAAAGGCTTGTGACAGAACCCAACACCTTGGCCACTCCATACAAACGTTTCATAGAAATGCTTTCCATCCTGCACAAAAATAGTTGGTTCAAAACCAAATTTCTACTTCAATATTTGACAAAACTAACTGTATACATACCTTAATTAACATGTCAAATATTATGTATAGTTTAATTTAATTACCTTAATAAAACCGCCATGACAAAAGTGATTGAAGGAATTAAAGTGGTGGTGGCTGCAGCAAAGGTTGCAGAGGTGTAGTTGATTGCAACATAGTAGAGATTTAAACTCAGGGTAATCCTAAAAAAAAATGTATGAATGATTGTTAGAGAGCATATGTAATATCAGATTAGAGAACTTGATTAATTGAAATGTTGATGAGAGCAAAAACTAATTAAACCATATTCATACGTACCCAGATAAGGAAACTAAGAAAATCTTGCAGAGTAAGGTGTAGGAAAGAGGAGCTTCTATTGAACTGAAAATTCAGAAAAATTCAAAATTCAAAAACAATATAACACTAACTAAATGGAAGAGTGGGACTAATGAAGGAGTAATTAACTACCTTTCAAGGAAGAAAGCAAAGGGAGCCAAGGCAAGGGAGGCAAAAGCTTGACGATAAACCACAAAGACAAAGGGGTTCATTCCTTTAGAAATTGCTGCCTTAGAGAACAAGGCCATACCTGCATACACAAATTGTATGAAGAGCATTGCAATATAAGCCTTATGACTCTCCATTACTAAACTCTTCATTTCATCTATGGCATTGGCCTCCAATTTGAGAAGCTCGGATTTCCATATATATATAGACAACGATGCTTGCTCTAGAGTCTAAATTTGCAGGCTTTCATATCTGCTTTAAGTCCCTATTGGCTAGTGCTACTTTTATGCGCGCGCGCGCACCCACATATATATACACACATAGCAAGACTGAGGTGTTAGAACATCGAATGGAAAATTTTGTTTACCACATGAATAATTTTATATTTCAGCATAGATCGATAGACATTTCATCTTTTAACGTAGTTTAGTAGAAACAATTTTTCTATGCAACTAAGATCAATGAAAACATTTTTCTCTCCAACTAAGGTTAACACAACATGCTAAAATTTCTCCATTTACTTCTCCATTACAAATAAGAAAATTGGATTAATGGTCCCAAAACTTTGTCTCAATTGGAGCTTTGGTATCTGAAATAAAAATTTGTGAGTATTGGTCCCTGAATTTGTTATAATGTGGAGCAAATATCCATTTGGCTAACTTTGTTATAATTTCCATCCAAGATAAAGGGTTTAAAGGGACATCAAATGAATGGAAGTTCTAACGGAGTTAACCAAAATGACAATTGGTTCATTTTATAACAAGTTCAGGAATCAATACTCACAAATTTTTAGTTCAGAGACCATTGCTCGAAAATCAGTGTGTATTGAAATATTTTATCACCTCAAACAAATTATCCCATTTATTTTGTTAATAATTAAACCATTGAACATATAGATCGATCTAAGTTCTTGGCATCACTACTAAATCAATCCAACAAAAATATTGTCTCCACTTCAACAACGTAGATTCAAAACAAGGTCGCTCAGGCCTAATTGACCCATCTAAGTGCATGATTTTAACTTAAAATGTTGCGATGTTTAGTGTGAACCATGTATTTACTTTTATTATATTTTTGGCACTTTTTCAGTGCAAGATTAAGTCCATGCTTGTACCAAGAGTGGCATGGATTTTTGCAACTCCACCCCCGATTAGGAGTTTCTTGAGCAATGCTCCACCTAGCCAGAAAATTTTACCACCTCTAGGAATTTTTTTCTTGAGCATGGTCGACCTAATCATGTATTTTAGAAGACATTTTTTACAAAATGATTGACGGTGAACAAATTTTGGGACCAATTCTATCGATTTTCAATGTCAGATACCAAAATAAGGAATTATGCCAATCTCAAAAATAATTTTAGGTAAAAATCCTAAGATAAATGGCTATGTCATACATAAGCACACTACTGCTTGTGCCATAATATATATGGACATGCTCAAGGAAGATGCCCGATACTTGATTATGGAATAAACCAATAATATTGCAGTTCCAAACCAAAAATACATATAGATCAATATTATTGGTGTAATTAAGATAGGCTTGGATAATTCCACATTTCCACCCTTAGGATCGTGAGTGAGGCCTGCTAGAGAGATATTAGGTCTTCCAATCAATTTTAAAAGACCATTGTTAAGCATCCATCAGCCTGCCATTGAAAACCACTCAGACCAGTACAATGGTTGAGTGGATTATGAATTAGACAAGATATCAGCTAACTAAAAATTTGGTGGAACCTTACCATATGTAACATCCTAATGTTGTAGGGTAATACTTGTACGAATAGGAATTTGGTCCAATAATGAGCTTATTTTTTGACACACCCCAATCCGGAATATCCACTAAGACTCCAAATCGAGGCGTGCTAGCCGACACCTGGAAGGTGACGAAGCCATAAAGTGTGATAGTGTATAAAATGTGAATAAATTTAAAATCTAAAAGTGCCTAAGTACACAAGTGCGCGGTGACTGGGTTTGGACCCATTTCACACGTGATACAAAGCATAGGTATATTACAGTAAGGTAAGATAATGATTATACCATCATAAGAAGACATCTGTATTGGAAGGTGCCACAAATCCTCGTCGATACGGAACTCTGCTGCTAGAACCTGGAGGTGTGCAAAAATAAAAAATGTGAGTGAGTGAACAAAACTTTTCAAACCAATTTCAATCAGTAGCCCCTCGCCGTAACACCTGTATAATTTCCCAGAAAATAGAATACATATCTATCTCAATCCCATACACGTCATAACAAAGTCCACATGAATATCATGCCATAGATCTCAATAAACATATATATATATATATATATATATCGCATCGACATGTTAACCGAAGTCACCTTACGTGACATGTACGGCTAAATTAATATCTCATCAATCAATGCTAGCACATATAAGTTGGAGTCACCTATAGTGACCTGTACGACTTATTCATATCTCATCACATATCTCATCAATCATGGCTAGCATATAAGTCGAAGTCACCTATAGTGACATGTATGACTTATTCATATCTCATCGCATATCTCATTAATCATGGCTAGCATATAAGTCAGAGTCACCTATTGTGACCTGTACGACTTATCCATCTCTCATCAATCAATGTTATTCAATAGCTCAATAACATGCTAGCCAATAGCTTAATAACATGTTAGCCAATAGCTCATCAATATGCAATAACATGCTAGCCAATAGCTCATCAATATACAATAACATGCTAGCCAATAGCTCATCAATATGCTAGCCAATAACTCAATAACATGCTAGACAATAGCTCATCAATATGCTAGCTAATAGCTCATCTACCAAATCTTGCACACGAGTCAGAACTACCTAAAGTGGTTTGTACAACAGACTGGGTGTAAATAAATATGCTCAAGTGCTACGATCACGTGAAGGCTATGCGAAGTATCGTAAGTCACCTACGAGTCGGAACCACCTAATGTGGTCTGTACGACAGGATAAAACTTAAAATAATTTGGCACTTCAAAGCATTCACAATAATTTGGTCTGTGCGATCCAAATGGCAGGTTCTTTGCATGGATGACTTCACGATTGCCTTTTCAAGGACCTTCTTTCCAGAGTGGGTACAGATGGAAGTTTCGCGTTGGTGTTATTGGCTGGGGGCTTGGCGGCCGGACAAGAGAAATGAGGAGAGAATCCCGTAGTGGTGGGCAGTAGAGGGGTGGCAGTTGGTGTTATTTTTCAAAAGTTCTTTGATATGTTTATGAGCTTGAAGGCCTAAGACCTATAGGGCAAGCAAATGCTTAGCCTATTAAGGTCTAGCATATGGTCTGCTACGATGTAAATGGAACAACCGTTATATGGAGTTAAAAGTTCACGTGTCGTTCTCCTATTAGATGTGGTTAATTTATGTTTCTACAGTTATGAACATTGTGGTCATGGTCATGAGAAGATGTTGATAATGGTGATGATGATGGTGTTGGGGCAGTGGAGATGTGGTGGTTAAGGATAGAAGGTGGTGTAGCGGCAATGGTGGTGGGCATGTAAGAGTAGTGGAGGTGATGTTGGCATAAAATGATGAGTTGTTTTATTTTGTTGTTCTTAAGCACTCATTCATGAAATTTAGAAATCACAACTATTTATATAGAATTTAAATTTAGATTTTTTCTAGATAGATCGATGGATTTGCACTAAAGGGTGAGAGAATTAATTGATATCAAATTCGTCATCAAACGTTTGTTCTCTCACTTAGACCATCTATAACCCATGGGATAAAACTTAAAATATATGATTTAAATCCCCTCCAAACCATCTCCAACCACTGGGGTAAAATAAGCCTTGGAGATAAAATATATCTTGTGTTAGATCTCACATCGCCCAGAGGAATGGATCCTCTATGCGTTATATGTATATGACCACCTCCATATAGCACGAGCCTTTTGGGAGCTCACTGGCTTCAGAGTTCACTTTGAAGTTAAGCGAGTTCGCGCGAGAGCAATCCTAGGATGGGTGACTCATTGGCAAGTTCTCGTGTGAGTTCCAAAAACAAAATCATGAGGGCGTGGTCGGGGCCCAAAGCGGATAATATCGTGCTACGACAGAGTCGAGCCCAGGATGTGGTGGGGGCTCAAGCTAGGATGTGACAATTCGGTATTAGAGCCAATCCCTGGCCGGAAGTGTGCCGACGAGAAGTCAGGCCCCTAAGGGGGGTGGATTGTAAGATCCCACATCACCCAGAGGAGTGGATCCTCTATGCCTTATACGTACATGACCACCTCTATATAGCATGAGGTCGAGCCCAAGATGTGGTGGGGGCTCGAGCTGGGATGTGACAATTTGATATTAAAGCCAATCCCTAGTCGAAAGTATGTCGATGAAGAAGTTGGGCCCCTAAGGGGGTGGATTGTTAGATCCCACATCGTCCAGAAGAGTGGATCCTCTATGTCCTTATACATACATGACCACCTCTATAAAGCACGAGGCCTTTTGGGAGTTCACTGGCTTCGGAGTTCATTGAAACTTCGAAGTTAAGCGAGTTCGCGCGAAAGCAATCCCAAGATGGGTGACTCACTGGGAAGTTCTCGTGTGAGTTCCCAGAAACAAAATCGTGAAGGCGTGGTCAGGGCCCAAAGCGGACAATATCGTGCTATGACGGAGTCAAGCTCAAGATGTGGTGGGGACTCGGGCCGGGATGTGACATATTGGGCTATATTTCCTTCAGAAATTAAGTCTGGCTTAAATTATTCTGAATTCACCAAACTGTCATATTTCAAATTTGTTTTGGTTTTTTACTTGTAATCCAACAGCTGTAATCAAATTAAATCAAATATAACGTTTAAAAAAAATTTAATGGCTAACATCTAAAATAATTAAAAGAAATTATTAAAATCGAACTTCACTTAAAACTTTATAAATACCTATGTATTTGTATGATTTTTAAAAATTATAGAAAAAAAAATTAAGCTAAAATCATTATTTAACAATTTCGTGCTGAAATTTTAAACCATAGTCATTGAAGAAGAAAAGCACTTTCTAGGTTATGGCTTACAATTTTCAAAAATTCTGTCTTAAAATTTTAAGCTTTGTCCCTAAGAGTGAAAAATGACTACCCCCAGATGGTAATAGTAAGTGGCTTAAACTTAAAAATTAGAAGTCCCAAATTTGAAGTTCTTTGTCGCACAAAATTCTAAATGTCCATGTTTATGAATTCAAATTAATAAAAAAAATTAGTGCATGTCAATTTATAAATACTGATCTTTCTCCAAATTCCAAGCTTGCTTTTCTCATCTAGACAGAGAAAAATCTAACTTCTTTTAATTGTTTTCTTATTTTAGATTCATCTTTAATTAATGATGTGATCAAATGGAAGCCTTTAAGGGAAGATCCCCATTTTTTTATAAAAATAGAAATTAGTTGTAGAGTCCACACCATTTTAAACTTTAATGATTTGAACCGTTTATTTTTTAAGTTGCATATCATAGATCTTCTTTACAAAATATTAGCCAATCGAAAATATTTACATAAATGGTCTGGTGATCAAATTTCTATTTATCCCTCAATTTATTAGAAAATTGATAGAATCAACGAAAAGAACAACATTGGACATAATTTGGGAACAGGAGCAACTATTACTAGAGTCATAAACAAAAATGCAAGTCGCGGTATAGTTCAGACCATTTCTACAATTCAGCTATGAAAAAGTTCAAAGATTTATCTCCAAAAACCAGTAACTAGGATAGATTTTATTACAATTTTGAAAAGAAAAAAACATTTGACTCTTACATGTCTAAAAAAATAGAGTAATGCTACATTATCATTTATTTGTATCATAATTTTATATCATCCAGTGTTCTAAAAAAGGGCCTAAGCGGCCGCCTAGACGCTGGGTGTGGTGGTGCTGATGTGATTAGGTCCGAATCATTAAGAAAAATCGGAGAGCTGTTAGGTGCTCACCTAGGCACTCTTAGGCGGCTTGGTCAGTCTAGGCGGAGTGGAGGTTTCCTGGAAAGAAATTCCACCGCTTCGACTCCCTCTCTCTGTAGACCACAACTTTCTTAGCTGTTGTGACTCCCTCTCTCTAAAATCCATCGAAGAAGAGGAACTTACAGTGCAAAATAGAAGAATAGGAAACAAGAAAAAAAAAGGGAGAATGTACAGAAGGAAAACGGAAAGAAAAAGAAAGAAGAAAAAGTGGAAAGGAAAGAAGACGAGACGAAGACGATGAGAAAAAGGAAAGAATAAAAATGAACAAACGTTTTCAATTTCAAGGCATCAAAAAAGGAGGATCTTGACTGATGTGAGGGACGCGGACTAGGGGTGGAAGGTAACGGTCACACCACACACGTGGTGCTTTTTGAAATTGGGGAGGATGCATGCACCTTTTCACACCACACATGTGGGATTTTTATTTTTATTTTTATGAAAATTAGATATAATTATTTAAAATATCTTAGCTAGTATGGTATATATGTGTGTTTTTAAATATTGAACTTTGGATACTAGTTTTACATTTTATCATTTTTTATTTATTATTGTATTCATGAATTTCATATAAGTATAATTTTTTTGTAAGTGTTAATATGCACTTACTTACAAGCTATATAAGAAATTGCCTAAATCGGCCTAGGCGCCCGCCTAGACTCCGCCTAGCCGCTAGGCGCCAGCCCACCGTCCAATTAGCACCTATTATTTTTTAGAACCTTAATACCATTTCAAGTGTCATCTTAAGTTAACAGCCACATTATTTAAAATAATAGAAAACTTCATTTTAATCCTTAAAAAAGATGAGTTTTAGACTATAACCTTGTGCAAGATTAAAATCCAATTTTAGTCCCTAGTACATTTAATCATATCATTTATTAGTTATATTATGATGTTTTATTTATCTTTTTATTTTTATTTTAATGTACTAATTACATTTAAATTTTATTTTTATTTCATTCATCATAATATATTTTAATGTCTACATTTAGGGAACTAATTTTTTTATAATATATATTCCGATAACAATTTTTTATGTTCTTCATTTAGGTACATTAATATATTTGAATATTTCGGTATATCCATCGGTACAAACATTACATTGATTCAATATAATGCATTTCGGTCAGTATAATGCATTTCATTATGTACATTTTGGTACACACATTTGAGTATTGACTTTTAGGTACATTAATTCAATATATTATATTTTGGTACATACATTTTGGTACAAACATTTTAGTATTGACATTTAGGTACATTAATTCAATATATTATATTTTGGTACATACATTTAGGTACGTACATTTTGGTACATACATTTTGGTATTGACATTTAGGTACATACATTTTGGTATTGACATTTAGGTTCGTACATTTTGGTACATACATTTCATACGTACATACATTTCGATATTGACATTTAGGTACATACATTTCGGTATTGACATTTAGGTACGTACATTTTGGTACATACATTTCGGTATTGACATTTAGGTATATTAATTCAATATAATACATTTAGGTTCATTATAATATATTTCCGTACAATCATGTAGGTACAAATATTTCGGTACAAAAAAGTCAATTATATATTTCGGCACAATCATTTTTGTACACTTATGTGTTTATATATTTTTGTATCACAAATTTCTTTTAATATTTTCTCATTTATAATTAAAAAACTAAATATGTGCATATTAATAAAATTAAAATTTTATGCAGAGAGATTAAATAAAAATACACATTAAATAACAAAAAATGAATGTAAATTTTGATAAAATTACACTTCAAGGGATCAAATTGAATATGTAATCTAGCACCAGATTTTTTTTTAAATTTTAATATTTTACAAGGACTAATGTTCAAAAACCCCTTAAAATAATTTACATATTTATTTAATTAAAAATAGTTAGAAAATCCAAAAGAAATGAAAGAAAAGAAAAACCCAAAAAATCTAGGATTGTGAAACCCTTCTCCCTTCTCCCTTCTCCCTCCTCCTTCGTTCCCCCACCCTTTCATAGTTACCGTCTTCCCCCACGAAGTTTTCGATCAATGCTCCTGCATGTTTCGTCCCTGTTTTGATTATACAAACATCTATCACTATTTTTTCATTGATTCCTTTAATTGGTCTGTATGCCTTTCCTTTTTTTTTTTTTTTTTGTTCTACATTATTGTAGACTAGGTTTCGCTAGTTGATTTAAAATTATTGCTGCAATCGGATGTATTGTATAATTATCGAAGTAACAAAGCCTAGTGATCCCATGAAGCTCTCAATCAACGCTCCTACATGATTTAGATTTTGCTACAAGCGTTGATTGAGAGGAAGATGGTGATTGTGAAAGTAGGAGAAGGAAGGAGGAGGGGAAGGGAGAAGTAGTTTCACGTTCCTAGGCTTTATTGTTTTTTCTTTCTGGGTTTTTTAATTGTTTATTTAATAAAATTCAAATTATTTATAAAAAAAAATGTAGTTGTCCACCTAAGTTCTGGTATAAAATTCAGATATAAATAGATAATAAGAAAAGCATTATTGTATTAAAAAAAATTGTAAGATTATCCTCATAATATGATACGGAATTTGATCAGTATATTTTGGCAATTCGTTGCCTATTTGTGGAAGGCACGTACTGTTCTACTATGTTAATTTTGGGGAAAATAATTTCTACATTCTTTTTCTCTTCATGCATATCATAATTTTTTTTGGCATTTTGAATCCAATAAATAAACATGAATGTACAAAAAGAAAAAAAAAAAGTGCAAAAATTGCTTTCTTTATTTTGAAAAAGGGACTCTTAAAAACAATGTTAATTGTAATTAATTTTAATAATGACATGATATAGTCTGAGGACAGGTAGACATAGTATGGGGTCCAGTTATTGATCTGGCAATTTAAAAAAGAAAAAATCTAGCCAGCAGTAAAACCCTAGCATAGATATTTGATTTGAAACCAAATAATCAAGTGGCTATCTTGAGTTTTTGCTGGCAAATAGGGGTCAATATTATCCGTCATTGCCTTCCATTTCAGATCCCACTAATGGCTCGTGCTTATAAGGTATATTTGAGCACCCAATAAAAAGGACATAAATATTTCATTAACTTAGACATAAACATTTACTGATTTGCCTAAATTTATGAAACGATAACTTGTAAAGAGCGACTAAAAGAGTAGATGATTTCAATCATTGATTTGCATAATAGAGTGGCCGTCGAGAAAATGTTCACATTTATCTTAATTATTACGTTAACATTTTAATTAAGCATCTGATGCGTGTTTTAATTAAGCATCTGATGCGTGTATGCGTTTAGAATTATTCTCATATCTTTTACGTCCTAACTTTCTTATGTATCAGACGTCTCACTGATCAGTTACTGATGGCGGGCAAAGCTTTAGAAAAGATGGGTAGGCTTCTTAAGTTCTTATACACTTTGTCTTTCTAATTTCAATACCATATTTTGCATGTGTTGCAGTTCTTACTATTAATTTGTCTGAGTCTTAACCTAGTAGGGTTAGCTCAAGAAAGGGTGGTGGGGTGATAGGTATGTAGTTAGGTTGAAGTTGGAAACCCTCCAATATAAACAAACAAACAAAAAATTCGTTCACGAGAAATATTTCAATGTGTCGAAAACACGGTTTGGTATACCAAATGTCATAATACAATTAGTTGGATTTTTTTTTTCAAGTTTCCAACCAATTAAATCGGTACACTTGGTGTACCAAAGCATGTTTCTAGTATACTGAAAAATCTCATTCTGTCAAAAGAACAAATCATAAACAACAATAATGGTAGTTTGGCTTTAATATTGGGAGGCAGATTGTCTACCCTACTGTTTGTATGTCATTCTCATCCCCTCCTATTTTGTGCGGTTACGGTTAAGTCACGTCAACATTTTATATTGATTTTTTAATAGAGATAATCAGATAAAAAGCAATAAGAATATAAAATATGGACGTGGCTTAACCGTGACCGTACAAATAGGAAGGGCATCCAAACAGGAGGGCAGACAACCTGCCTCCTTAATATTGATGGCCAGCACTGTTGCTATCCATTGCTTTCCTAACACATGCTTCTTAGCAATACTTATCTTAGCTTGATATAGATTAGTTCATTTTCGACCAAAAAAAATGATTAGCTCATTTATAACACATTGAATCTTTTGGAGTATAGCTAGTGCTCTCCAATAGAATGGTTGCTAAATTTTTGCAACAAGTCTCGTGGTCCAAATTCAAACTCTACACATTCAAAGATCAAATTGCATGTGAAGATTTAGTTGTGGCCTAAAAGTTTCAAGATCATACGTGTAAATGTTCAAGCCGACTAATACTATGCATACATATATAAATCGTGATATTGTGAGGATTTGTTATTTGTTCATGTTGCGTCTCACTTATTTATGAACCTAATTAAGATCGATACTGGGTAATATATATATATATATATATATATATATATATGTACACACCATTCAAATATTAAGTATGCTTAAAATTTGGAAAAGGGCTTTTGATGATTCTTGTATTACATATGGAACCCTACCAGGCATTACGTAGAAGTGGTGGATCAAGTGGATCTATCTACTAATAACGCTATGCTGACATCTGTCCACTCGTTTTGTCTATTTATTGGAGGTGGATTGTCTCCATACTCTCCCCATACCCTCTTGTTTGTGTGATCACGATTAGGTCACGTCAATATTTTATATTCATATTACTTTTTGTTTTATTATTTCTATAAAAAAAACATTAATATAAAATGTTAACGTGACTTAACCGTGACCACACATCACATAAAAGCATGAAAAATGTATGGAAATAAGAGGCAGACAATCCACCTCCCTATTTATTACCCTTACAGGACATGCATGCTGCCCTTTTGTTTTCTGGAAGTAAGGACATGAATGCTTTAAAATGGCCTAATGATCACGAGGTATGAATAATAATGAAAAAGAAGAAAAGGGGCAGGAGAGAGAAGAAAGAAGAAAAACAGAGCATGATATTGATAGAAAGCTTTCCAGATTCCCATTAAAAAACAGAGTGCATGATATATCCTTTTACTTTGAAGAACTGAGTTATATAGTGACGCAATATTTGTAAATAATATAGTCTCTCTTTTTCTTTGATAATTTGGATTTGGTAGAGAATAGTATAGCTTGACCATGATAAAATTTATATGGGGCATATCTGTGAACCTTATTTGGGAATCACAGTACATAAATACAAAAGCACCTTTTTTTTTTTTTGCCGTATTTTTGGGAGACAAATTGACACAGATAATGGATCTACATAAAGGAGAGTAGCTAGTAGAGAGAAAGAAAGCCTTTATTATATATACCAAGTGATCGATCATCGACAGTACTTGAAGCTACCCACGATACCGTCTCCTGTTAAAGAGTGGAGTGGTGGAGATGCATAAAATACATAAAGCTTGTCTAGCAATAGCATTGGATGGGCATCTAAAAGATTATGCTTTACATGCTCTCACTTTCTCTTTATGAATGTAAGAAATAAAAAGAAAACCCTAACCAAAATATCTCCATCCACTTGCAATCATGCACTTCTTCACTTTTGTCGAATAAATAATTTTAGGGTTGTTTA